TAGGGCTGGGACGGGTCCAATTTGTCTACCAAGGTACCCCGCCCCATATTACCCTACTCTACCCTGAAAACTGTTATGTTAATTCCTGACATTACATTTGTAAGAAATGGCAATATTTTCTTCAGCTCGGAGGCTAAAATTGTGTGCAACGTTTTATGAGATATCACGTTTACATAAGTTTGAAAAGTGGTCACATTGTCACGGTGACAAATAAGGTCAAGGTCACCCAAATTCCCTGTTGTCCGCGTAATCCCCCCATGTAGGCTGTCATCAAATATGAATACTACAACAGTGCATGAAATATCGCGTTGATAAGAGTTTGAGAAGTGGTCAAAATGTCGGGGTGATCTTGAAAATAAGGTCAAGGTTACCCAACTCGTCAGGTGTCTGTGTAATCACCCTATGTAGGCTGTCACCAAATTTGAAGGCATTGAATACAACAGTTCATGAGATATTGCGTTAACAAGAATCGGGACTTACGTACGTACGGACGTACGGATACTGATGAATACAATGTCGCCCGTTCTGCGTTCAAGCGGGGCACAAAATACACAAAACCTATATACATGAGAGGTGAGGTGAAATTGCGTTTTACGTCGTGCTTGAGAATATGTCGCTCATATGACGACGTGCATGCGTGTGTATGTGTATGTGCGGCTGCTTTTACTAGCCCAGACTTAAGCTGGTTTTATAGGGCTAGCCCACTGAGATACCATGCCGAAGTGAAGCATGAATACCCCACTCAGACACATTATACTGACTCCGAGCCGACCAGTCCTTGTTGTACCCATTAATGCCGAGCGCCAGGCAGGACAAACAAGTACCATATTTTTACGTCTTTTGGTATGACGCGGTCGGGGATCGAACCCGCGACCTTCCGCTCTCCGGGCGGACGCTCTAACCACTACACCAAGGAGGCGGTCTATATACATGAGAATACCGCTGAGATACCACTACCACAGTGAATCTGCATCACAAAATAATTATGCCACAAAAAATTAACAAAAAGATTGTTTGTATTGAATTATAGGTTCGCGAACAAGCACGTTTTAACTGCATGAGAAGTTTCAAGCTTGAAAAACGACTTACGTCTTGATATATACTGTTAGTGAACAGCTTCTGTAGCTCCGTTCGTTGCTCAGCATCAATCAGATGTGAAGTGATCATGTCTCCCGAATTCATGAGCATATCCTTGAAGCTGCCGTACGTCCTGACTGTAGCACCGGCGAGGCGGTCCGTGTATGGAGATATGGAGTTAGATATCTCAAGCTTGCTGTCTACGATGTTTGGTAGGTCCATGATCGTGTCAACTGTCGCTATAAAGATACATACGGGTTTTTTGTAAGTCAATTGGGTTTTATTTTTGAAAGAAATGTGTCTACACTAAAAAGACTGCAAAGGGTTGCCAAATCACTTAGAACGGTATCAATCTTTTCAGCATTACGGTGTCTGGGCTCTTGGGTCCACAGAGATGTTTTCGAGCAACAACCGAGACCATAGAAAATGAAGTCATATCTGAAAACAACAACCGTTTGCATCCATTACCTTCTATTTTTACATCAGTGTTTGATTGAACACATCAAAATAATAAAATACTGATATCCCAAACCTCCTTTTGCAGAAACAGTGTATCTAAAATTCAGAATCCTTTGACGTCACAAATGGAAGCCCCATTGTGGCAGTATTGCATGACATTTTACCAGTAGCTTTCGTCTGTACAATGTTATAATGGTGCTGATAGGCGTCCCACATTTTCTCGATCATGTCATCCAACCTTGAGATCATCTCTACAACATCTTCTACGGTTGACTCTAATTTCTCCTGAAAAAAGGTAAAAGGTATGGTGTACTATATTCAGAATAACGTGCATGGATGAGGAACATTTAGTGTTGATAATAGGACAACAAATAATATATTTCTGGAAATAAGTACCAAACATAAACTGTTAACGACGTGTTCTGGGTGTTTAATGAACAAACTCGGTTAGGTACATAAAATAACTCATAAGGGAGGGACACAACTTAATCAACAAATAATGTAACCCTAAATCATGTGTGAGGGGAGATCAAGTGACGTTCAATAGTAAAGTTGTTTTAGGATCCACTTTCAAACAATTGATATTCCAGAGCAAACAATTGAAAAGAGCAACCTAAATTGCTACATGGTCGGCACTGTTACATCACTATACAATATCAGATATGGACTATGTGCCACATCTCAAACTGATGTTATTTGAATTCACATTTGCTGGATGAAAGACAGTGTTTATGACGTTGCACAAACACATTTCTACAGGATACCTTTGCAAGGACAACCCAGTCGTACCACAGGTCATCATAGATCTCTTTCATGTTCAAGTCGTTGACATTCTGTAGATGTTCTGTCATAGATTTACTCCATCTAATACATCTGCTCAAAAACGGCTTCAGAACGTGTTTGTATAGCTTCCTGCAAATGAAACAATACAAGTATTATTGTTGTTGCTTGTAACGGTGGTTCCTAAACATCTGTATCTGAACCAAATGATTTCACAATCCACATTGTTTGGATACAACGACGTGTAAACAACCGAATCATTGAGCTGGACCATCAAACCCATTTTGGTGGCAACCAGTATAGGTTGACGGTGGCTTTTTCTAATCTCGAATGCCTAAGGGGTTAAAGATATAGCACACGAAATGTTTAGGTGTCAATTGCTCAGTGAAATTATAAATTGCTTATGTACTTACTCTGCCTCGTCAGGATAGTCTCCTATGTTAGCCAGGTAGAAGTCATTACGTTTGTACATCCTCTTGATATCCGCCCTGATAGAGTCAAGTTGGTTCTCTATGATAACCGCTTCTGACACAAACAGGTTTAAGTAAAACGACAGTTCCTCCTTGATGGCTTGTGTAATCTGGTGGTATTTGCCTGACAATTCCTCTCCTACAGACTCGTACACAGTGTAGAAAGTGGCCTTTGTATTTTGAGCGTAATTCTCCACGTTCCTAGTCAAGTACGCCTATAAAACAAAAGGCATCCTTCTTGGTGAAATGATGCATTCACGTGTATGTTTTTTGCCATGTTTTCTCATATAACAATTTGAATACCTTACATACCTGAACATCGGTGATCGTCTTTGGCCTCCAATATAGTCTGGTATGGAGAAGACGGGATGTGTTGAGTCTCAGGGCAACCAGACTGTCAAATATAGCATGGGAATTCTTCTGATGATAAACCTCAGCCTGCATAGCACTCGAGTTGATGTATCTGGCATTCACGTGAAGCATCTTTCCAGGGTTATCTGTCATTGAATGAGTTCAGTCTTACATCTCATACAAAATCAGTTTGATATTTGGACACATATAAAAGGTAAGAATGATATACATGTAATGAAGTTGTAGTTATTCTAGAAGTGAATAGGTATTACCTAGATCAAAATCTGTTGCAAACTCCAGCGCGTTCCAAGGTGTCAGTACAGTAGTCAATGTTCTGTTGTTGATCACTACTTTGAAAGGGTTCCCTCCCATGTCAGCAGTAGCTTCCAACTCCTTAATTGGGCAGTGCATCTACAAGAAGCCTTGCGTTACAAGTGACATGGGTACATATATCTGTGCGTCTTTATTCATTTGCACCTTATACAGCAGCAGTGGCGTTTAATTAGAACAGTGTTTAATGTGTTTGTGTCTGTCGAGCATTCGTTTCTTCTTCGTTAGTGCTCTGTATTCCCTGTGTTAATCTTGGCTGTTTGTCTATATCTATTAATATGGATCAAACACGAGTGTTTTCTAAATACTGTAATTTACTTCTTTGACTGGCATTCTAGAAGTTGGGTATATGAAGAATGAGGACTATTTTCATGGATAAACAACTATATTCTATATAGAGAAAGAAGTTGTATATCCATGAAAATAGTCCTCATTCTTCAGTAATTTACTTACTTTTAGCTTGAACATTTGCATGGCCGTGTTGAACTGCCCTTCCAGATCCAAGTTCCTCCTCTCTCTCCTAGCTGTCAGATAGGTCATTCCTAATCCAGCAGATACTTGCTCAATGGAACTACCGATGTGGGATGTAAGTTGGACGTCCACATCCGTGTATGGGTGGCTTATGCCAACCACAAAACTGTACTTGGTGGCACCATAGCCAGAGGAAATGTCATCAACGCTAGATGTAACGGTGATGGTTTTTCGGTCGTCTTCGGAGTAGGATAGTTGTGTTTTGCCATTGAAGACAGACCTGCCGTCATTCAGCAGCAATCCAGTTTCGACCTTGATGTTCTGAAGATTATTGACAGAAAATACAAGGTCTTCTTATTGTGGTTAGAGAATACTAACGTGACATATTCTCTCATTACTGAGCTAAAAGCATCATGTTTACATTAGATATCAAAAGTCAGTAATGTGTTGCGTTCCTACCTTGCCAATAGAAGGAAGTCTGAGAGAGAGATCAGCCTGCTTGTTCTTGTCACTGGGGGTGAAGACAGCTTTCATGCCAATCTTCTTTGTGTCATCTCTGTCTGCATCCCAGGAGAAGGCACCATCCAGAGTTTTTCTTGCACGTGTCTGACTGTAAGACCCATCCATTTTAAGACTTCTTAGGTGGGATCCCACTTTAAATGTGCCATCATACATCTTGCTGTAACGGCGGCTACGGTCCTTAACATCCACATCATAGAAAAACGAGCGCCCCTCAGCTTCATTCCAGATGAATTCTCCACGACTCTTTTTCTGGAGCCGTGAACTGAGGACATTTCCGATGATACCAACAGTGCGGGTGGGATGAATAAACTTCAGTGTCAGGTTTTTGTTCAACAGGGACTGTCTGCTCCTGTCTGTCAGTTTTGCTTGGACTTGAAGACTGCTATCAGGATTGTTTCTGTCCCAGTTGAGAATCATTTCTCCACCCACGTTTCGTAATTTGCCAGGAATTTGAACATGTGTGAGTGATACTTCATATGTTGATTCATCAACCGATATTAAACCTTTTACACTCACATTTTTTAAGGCTCCTTCTTTTGAGACCACAACTGTAATGTTGCGAAAATTATCAACAGCTAAGTCAATAATAACACTTCCATGGAATTTGTTTCTGCTGAAGGCACTATAAACATTCGTAGCAATGTATTTTGTCCCATTTTTTTCCAACTTCAGAGCACCCTTAACACTTCCATCATCAATAAAATGGTGGTAATCAAAAACGTAATTTTCAAAACCTCCCAAAGATACTTTTGATTCACCTTTGACAGTAACATTGTCTACAGACGGGCTTCTAAATGAAAGTTTTAAAAGATCTCTGCTCTCAGGTTCCTTAGATTTGTAAGATAGGTTCATGTCAACAAATGAATACAGAACACTATCAAAGATTAGAGTCAGTTGTTCGCCCTTACTGGTTAAGACCGTTATGGTTGCGTCAAAAGTCTTGCGATACTTTGAACGATCAATAAAGACAATGTGTTGCCTCTCATAACCGGTAATTGGAGTTATCATTTCGGTTTTCGTTGATCTGGTTCCATTGACGCGGGGGTAAAATGTGGTTCTAATTGTAATGGTTTTGTTGTCTCTGTAGCGAATGTTCAGTTCATCGCCAGAGACATCATCATGTCTGCTGTAATCATATGTGAACCCAATGTCTGTGAAGTTCTCAGCAGGAGTCCAAATTGTCAGATGTGAGTGATATTCATGCCTTCTGTCTGTTACAAACTCTGTTCTTACTGTTTCATTATTTAAGTTAAACGTACTTGTGGCATTGTATAGCCGTTTGATATCTGTAATAATAAAGGTTCCTTCCATTAATTCATAACCTTGGAAATTAGTATGCATGGTAATATTCCCCTCTTTGTAGTTCTCTTTCATGGTAGAATACAGTGTAATAACCATTTCATCAATTCTAATGTCCAATGTACCATTGAAATATGAATCTATTTTGAGACCACTAAATACTACCGTACTTGTTCTATATTTTTCAAATGGTGTTTTTACGAAGAATTGTATCGTCGATTGTTCATTTAGATCTTTTAAAAACCAGATAGAGTCTATGATGATCTTCTTATAGTTTGCATACATGAATGTAGTATTTAAATGCAATTCGTCACGTAGAAGTCCATCAAATCTAAATGACAATACTTCCCAGTTTCTAAATGGTGTCTTTAGTTCTGTTAAACTCAACACTGAAGTCGGAACGAAGGAAGATCTTCCGTGTGTTACGTTGTTGGTAACACTGAATGCTATTTCTTTGGTGTCCCTGTATCGGAGAGCGACATAAAAATGTTCCCAGAATTTGTATTGTTGGTACCAAAGTCCTGTTTCACGAAAATCTTTGAAAGGTGTTCTCAGTTTCAAAACCATCTCTGTTCTGTCTCTCTCTTTGACCCCAATAGCCATACCTCCATAAGTGGAACCGCCGAATGTGTATGAAGCACTGGCATTAAGCGTTGTTGGAGTTAGTTCATAGTTTATACACACCTTAAGCAGATCTAAACTCTTGTTACTCGATGATGCTAGCAAGCTAACTTTTTGTCCACGTTTGTAGACAATCTGCACTAAATTAGAATAGCCAAGGATTTGGATTTCAGTTTTTCCTTCACAGTTGTCCAAAGGACCAGTATAGGATAAAGACATCGCATTGTTTCTTGATGGAGTCTTCAGTGACATTGCCACTTGGACATTTGTCGAATTGGCAAACCTGAAGCTGAACATAGCTCTTTTTGTGATTCCATTTGTGACTTCAGCAGCCAAAGCAGTTTCCCTTGTACTGAACAAATGCTGATACTTAACAGTTTTGTTTTCAAATCCTTCAAATGGTGTTGTCATCTCCACCTCAACGTCAACGTCAGCTAGGTCGTTGAATACAAATGAAATTGCTCCTTTTATATGTTTAGTCTCATCATATGATACACTTCCTCTTGTCTTAAAATTGAAAATACCCCCAACATGGTAAAAATGGCATATAAACTTCCTGTCACTGTTGGATGGAGATGACAATACTCCGACAGCAGACAATGCCAACCCGTTATGTGTATTCGATGGCATCTTAAAATCGATTGCATATGACATATTATTTCCGTTAGGTCCCGAGGAAAATGATCCAACTGAAGAAGCCACCTTTGTCTCATGATCTAGGCTTACTTCAGCATTTAGAAATCTAAGTTGGTGAAGTGGTGTCTTGATTTCAACAACTGCTGTGGTCTCTTTTGTGTTTGTGGTGAATCCACACGCAACTGACGAAGATGTTGTATGTTTCTTATAGTTTGCAGCTAGGTCAGATCCTATTGTGCGCGAGTTTCCACTGTATTTACCTTGAATGTCGACACTGACATCCTGAAATGCAATGTATTGTGACACAACAAGAAGCCACAAAATTTCAAATATATGTTTTGATTGGTAAGTTTCATCATGCTAATCATGGGGACATTGTCTTGTTTAAAAGAGAATTTCTATTGTTCACCTTCAATATGAAAGTGATGTATAGCATTTTTATAAAATACCATACGCGTACGCTGCTGTATTTGAAACGGGTGTAATGTGAAAAGGCCTAAGCTATGTATGAGGGGTATGCCCGTGATGCTATTGGGTATATGGCCCTACAACTACTGATACCCGGTAGACATGGAGCTTTTACAACGCAATCTACAAAGACAGCCCGAATATAATAATATCAATTGATACTACGCAAGTAATTACAGGAAGCAAAGAATAGACTAAAACTTACAAGCTTGTGGAGAATAATTCTGAAGATTCTTTTAAGGATCTTAATATAAGAATATTCCTAGATTAAATTTGGCGATACTTTTTACAGGTGTGTACGAAACAGCGTTAGAAATTTCAGTATAAGTAACTTTGTATTATATTTATCCAATCAATCCAATCATGTCTCACCACTGGACCAATCTCAGTCTTCAGTTTGTACTTGACATTAACTGCCCGTTTGTTCACATGGTGGTCTATCGACGCGGATCCTGTAATCCGTCTTGCAGGGTTTCCAACCTTGACCCCATACTTTATTGTGACATCTGCTTTGGTATGCCTTGTGCTGTGGGAGAAGTCACCTTTCAGAAATACGTTCAGATGCGGGCGCTCCTGGTTTGTATAATCCCTGTGTCAAATAAAATGCATATTACCAGTTAAGACTTTCAGGCAACATTTTGAGATTCCATCACAATCCGCACGCGTAAATATTCCTGTGAATTACACATTTTACCACATAGGAAGAATCCACTGACGACAGATAACATATCATAAGTTTAAGCAATTATTTAAAGTGTGTCCGTGATAAAGGCCAAATTCAGGACATTCTTTTGAGATAGTTAGAAAGTATACCTATGCTTTCACTTACATTTGGAACTTGGACTTCAAGTGGGTTTTTTGTGTCATGATCTGTCAGCTTTGACCTGATTGTGTGTTTGTTGCTCCAGCTTCTGTAGGACTTGGGAAGTGTGTACTCCAGGGTGACCGTGGGGTTAACTGTTTTCTTCGTACTTTCCACATTTCCAATGACTTTGGCATCCAAGAATTCAGATCTGAGTATAACTTTTGCTGAGCGTTTTGTCTTTTTACCAGATGTTTGGCGCATATCACCTGTTCAAACAATCGCATTTTACACTTTAACAAACTAAATATATTCATAGTGTTTACATATTTGGAAGGCATTTATTTCATAGTTTGCCTTGAAAAAAATCTGCACAATAAAATATTTTCCAAACATCATTAAGAATTGCATTAGCTATAAATTCATAAGTCTCAATATTTGTTGGTGCTGCTGAATATCCCAAATAGCTCACTGCGATGTCTATTTTATTTTAGGCAAGGTTTGCTGTTCTGATAGTAACTTATAAGATCACAAAATAATTTGACAATTGAATATAATTGCTTACATTGAAAGGTAATTGGCTTGCTTAGAATGTTGTGAACATCGACAGTGGTGCTTCCCTGAAGTGATTTGTTCTCCTTATATTCCCATGCCCCCTTGAGTGAGACCAGCTCACGTTTTGGGGTTTTCACCATCAATGTCGGTATGGCCTTGATGGTTGGCTTCTTCTTGCCAGTCTCCTGGTACACATATCCGGCCTCTAGAACGTAGTCCTGCTCTGGGGCGAGACTCAAGGAACCCTTTAGACTCTTCTCAGTTTTAGAGTTCACCAAATAGGCTGCAACATGAAAATGGTGTATTAACAAGCCTCGTTGTAGTTGTGGATTGTGTCCGTTAGTACGGATGGGCCAGAACATACATAAAACATATGAATGTTTAGGAGAACATACTGTAAGACCGATTCTTCTTTCTTGTGTGGGTTTTGGGTGGTTTTTGTAACATATGTTATATTTGGGATTACTCTTTCTTAGTAAAGTACAGATTCTAGTTCTTTTGCTGGGTTGAGTCCCATGCGGGATTTGTAATGGTAATTGTACAGATTCTACTAACATTTCAAGTTCACTGGGTGAGTTGTTACCCCTTTGAGCGTTAACTCAACACTGGCTTTCTTGTTTACTTCCGTCTCTACTGTTCCAGCCAGTTGGATGACCTTTCCCCTTGGACGCCTGATCTCGAGTCGGGGCGTGTAGGTTACGGTTGACTTTTTTCTCTTTATGCCAACTTCACTGATGACAATATATTCTGATGATTTATCAACAGTTAACTGACCTTTCAAGCCAATATTTGTCTTCGCAGAGGTCATTGAACCTGTGATATAATGCAAAATACATAACTATACACTTCAGCATATTCAATTCGATATTTCTTCTTTAACTATATCATCTTGTAAAAACTAGGCTTTTGGAAAGATCGATGAAGATTAACGTCATCTCATGTCGTCATACCGAATTGGGAAATTAGGGATATTTCAAAATAATGAATGAGAAAGTCTGAGCTACATCATGATAAAATAATTCAATATATAATATCCTTCGATGTAGAAATCAAACTGCCTTTAAGGGTTGCTTTTTTCCAGGGGGTCAATGCTTCCATCTCAAATTCTTTGGTTTTCCTCTTTAAAGAAACTGATACGTCGATGGTGCGGTCAGTTCTGGATCCAGGAGTGTTTAGGTTGAAGTGGACAAACGTGTTCTGCTTACTCTGTAAAGATTACATAGAAACAAATTGTTAAGCGTATCAAACACGTTAAAAGTTTACTTATCTGTAATCTTTGAGTCCTTGCCACCAGCTGTTGCCATGCAGTGTTTTTAGACACACCCCATATTGATTGGTTCGATTGCGCCGTTGTTTACTTGATTGAAATGTAAAGAAGATTATAGATCAATACCGATTGTGTATTTAACATACCCCTGTTCGTTTTGCAAAGAACTTGTACCCAGCGTGTGTGTCCCTCTTGTGAAGAACAAGGCTTTGAGAGAATGGTCCTGTGAAGGGGAAATATGGAGCATCGTCTACCATTGATGTACTAGGCCACTGGAATTCATTACAGAGCTCAAGGCCAGTGATGGTGGCAAGTCTTGCTCCTGTGCACAGTTCCAGCCTCTTTCTGTTGCCTGTAACCAAGTCTTGTTTCTTCTGCTGATCACCATGAATGCTGAAGAACTCTGTGCTATAGAATTAGGATGGACTTATTAATCTGTCAAAAAGTAGGTTTTGAATGATTGTATGAAGGATTGAAATTCTCATGTGTATGTTTATATTAGGATAATTTCATGTGAAATTTGCCCATTTTTTGGTTAAAAAAAAAGAAGTGTAAAAATTTATGTAATGCTTTGATGTGCCTAAAGTATATTTATATTGATATTAATTGTATTCAATGAACTCCGATTATATAGTAATGATTGTGGCAGGTTTTTATTCCGCACAGTTTAAACATTGGCTTCAAAATAATTTCATCTCATAAACCTTAAATAGATATGTTTAAGAGTAAACGAATGATGAATGATATTTTCTGCTTCAGATAATAGATGTTACTACCTCACATCCAGGATTTCCATTTTCTGTTGTGGAAAGTCAATGTCTGCACTAAGAATCTTTCCACGTCTGAGTTCTACACGCCCTTTCAATGCAGTGCTGGAATGCCAGGTGTTTACAACTCGAAGGCCGGTTTTGGTGACAAAGGCATCCATGCTCATAGTGCCTGTAATCTTAATAGATCCACTGGAAAAGATCACCAAGACAAAGAAGTACAGCTGTAAAATAATTTCACACGCCTTTGCAAGAATGAAAAGGATTCAAATATCACGTACCTTGGCTTCATCACTCCATCAATGAGGAGACTCCGTGGCGAAGTCAAAAAGTTTTGAAGATCCACTTGACCAGATGCCTGAAGATCAATGCTGGCTGTTCCGTTCACGTTGAGAGTGAGGGGGAGACCGGAGCTGGTAGGGATAATCATGCTACTATCCAGGATCATCATACTCTGAGTGAAGGAGTAATCCTGCTTCTTAAACATCTTAATAAGGAAGTCCAGTAAGTTGAAGTTCTTGACAGAAGCAATTGGATCTACACCACTGAAGTGATCATAGTACATTTCATTGCCAAACATCTTCATGTACATATCGCCTTTCAAGTCAGTAATATTGCCGGAAACCTACAATTCAAAAACATAAATAAGAGAGGGGGAGGGAATTACCATCTAACATCACATCAGCAGCAATTTGGAAAACTATATATAAATATAAAGTACACGGTTAATTGATATTTTAATAATAAAATATATTCCCAATAAAGATTGTCTTTAGAGTATTCTTTCCACATACATACCATCTCCTTTTGAGGGAGCCAGTCTCTGAAAAAGTTGTATTGGCTGAGATATTTTCTAATCAGATATTCCACTCCTTCCACACGTCCACCCACTTCAAAGAGATTGAGAGAGCTACCGAAGAGATCAACTGTCATGTTGAACATTGCAGAACGAGGAAGGGCAGAGTTATCTGAAAAGACGACATTACTCTCTAGCATGGCACCGGTGTTGTACTTCTCCATGAACACAGAGCCTTCGTAGTTGCGTGAATGTTTCAGTCTTGAGAGATCGAAATTCTTTCCAAGGGTTTTGTCCTCAAGGATTCGTCTGATGGTCTGCTTCTGTGGACTGGATGTTTCCATCAGGTTGGTAAGATGCGACCAGACAAAGGATCCCACTTGCATGGCTTTCTCAGACATGAGAGTACCTTGGATTCTGCTGAAGACATCTTCAGATGGACACTGCATTACAGCCAAGTAGGCTGCAATTCTCAGTTCAGGATCCTCATCGGAATCTTGATAGACGGTCATTGCTTTATTTCTCTGGAATGAAACGTGGATATGTATGACATTATACGGTTATCAAACATATGATTATGTCTAAATGTAACAAATATCCTTTTCTAGGGTGAATTTGGTATTAATTTCCGTAACTTACATCGGCAGTACAGGGCAGTCTTCTGTAGGCCTGGATGGCAGCTACTCGGACCTCCATGGGGTTGGATTGTCTGTTGAAGCAGCTGCTGAGTGTAGTGGTCAGTCTGTCCAGATGGCCTGCATTTCCGAGAGCACGAAGGGCCACAAGACTCGTCTCCAGATTAGAATCTCTGATGTAGCAGCCATAACCGATAGTCTTCTCCATGGTAGAGATAATATTTGTGATTGTGGATTCCACAGAACAGTCTTCGTGATGGTTGCAATAGTTGTTGACCATAGTGGATATTGGAAGCATGGCAGCCTTGCTGTACTGAGGGGTGTCAAGAAGTGCCTACAAATATATACATTCAGAGTTGGTATATAGTTCATCATGAGATGGTTATTTTCACTGTTTTGATTGAAGGTGAACACCATCATTGTATTTTTTTGTGATGTTTGTGATCAGCTCACCTTTACTTCCTGCAACATCTCCATGGTGGGGTAGTGGATAAGAGACAGGGATGTGATCCACATGGTTGCCTGTGCTCCAGTGACCTCTCTTTTCAGCAGAATATCTTTCAAGAGCCTAACAGATGCGCTTGTGCTGGCCATCGGGATAGTGTCCAGAAAGATACGCCTGGAAATAGGTAAGAAAGAAAGTTATTAAACAAGAAGAAGGCTTGTGGGCTGGTAGTTACGACGAACCCAAATACATAGATATTATGAAATATATAACGGAGTACTAACTTAACTCTCTCGTTGTTACCAGTGCAGAGTGACCCAGATTCAACTTGCTCGTAGATACTGTTGATGTCATCAAAGCGCAGGTTTTTGATAATGTAGACAAGTTCAGTGAACAAGCGTGGAGTGTCGGGGCGGATGTCATCGCGTGTATTCTGACAGATCTCTTGCAGTTTACTCTCAGCATCTCTCGTTGGTTGGACTTTGTTTCTTTGACCGTGGGCATGTTCAAACGTAATTCCTGCTCGATTCCGAATTATATCTAGAACGTGTAAGTAAGACAAGTAAGTTTGTAAAATAATTAGGAATTATTTTTAGAAGATCTTAGTCGAAGTATTTTCATGTTTCTATATAATAATGGTTTAACTGTCATTATTATTTGGCTTTTACACCTAGTCAAAATTGTTTCAGCAGATAATCGAGACAATTCTCCAGCGTCGACTTTATATAATTTAAGTATTGTTTGATCTACAGAGCTTGCATCAGGATAGTGGTCACCTTGTCTTGTGGTAATACCAGATCTCTGAGTCTTGTAGTTGAGTCTCTGAAGGACTTTGGTAGTGGCACCACTGGTGGCTCTAGAGAAGGGCCTGAATGTGTGGGTCTCCCGGATGAGCGCACTCTTGAGGAGTCCATTCTTGTCCAGTTCCTGTTCACATTCGTGTGTACTCTTCATGAGGGGCAGAGACTGGATCTCTGAAGGAACTCTGTACGGCATGCCATGGACTGAGCTGTGATAACCAGTACGATCAGTGCAGCCTATGAGATCTTTTATCTTTTTAATTGTAGAAGAAAACCATCCTGGAATGACTTTGTAGTCAGTATGACATTCACCCGTGACATCTCTCTGTAAGTATACATATGCTTAGTATAGACGAAATATGTGATCGAAACGTGTTGCTGGTAACCAAGATCGAGTGTTGCTGTTGTTGTAAGTACAAATATCAAGACATTACGCTGATGCAACAGGGAAAATGGATAGTTTCACTTAATGTTTTATCCACAACTGAGTATATTTCAAAACTTCGTATAGGAAATGATTAAGAACCACACGTCCGCTGCTGGGACATCAAGCATGAGAGTTATTGGTCGGTTCTTTTATCCTCTGGCCACAAAATATGGGACTTGTTGTTACCCTGCCCTGTTGACATTAAGAGGTCAAAACAAGGACTGACCTGCTCTTTCATTGATATTTGTTTTCTTTTGACATTCTAAAAGGCATATTTATCGACATATTTTCTGTTTTAATCTGATTTTCTAGTTCACATACATAGATGCCCACACAAAAGCACTGTCATACACACTACATGCTTTTTATCAGTGATACATGTATCACTGTTCATGCTATGATAATCTGTTTTGTCAGGAAAACTGTTTCAAACAGCATCACATTATTATTTGGTCCACATATTTACTTCAAAGACGCTCTGGCCTCTACCCAAGTTGTCCATACTGTTCTGGACAGCAGTGAGAAGACCTCTCTTGATGTTGAGGGCCCACGTGGTTTCACCCTCAGCGGGACACAGTTCCTCTATCACGCCATCTTGGAAAGAGAAGCGAAGTGGAGATCGTTCCAGATTCCTCTTGAATTCCCCACTTTCGTCAACATTTTCCATTTGTTTCGAAGGAGAGGGATCAGATCGGTACACTTTGACATCGTGTAGCTGCAGATTGGACACACAGTAATGTTACTTAATGAATGGTTTGAACTCTTGTAAGAATTCATGTTATAATGCAAACGTATTGTGTACAATTTACCTACCCTTAGAACCATCTCACACTTGGACAGCACCTCGATGTCAGCAGTGGCCTGGATGCCAAGAGACGCCTGGTCGCTTGAAGCTCCCACCATGGACGTCTGGGTCTGAACGTTGTACTCGTACACATAAGTCGTCCCGGGGACGTATTTGAACTTGGATGTGTCTGGCGATAGAAAGAGATGTCATAGATAGATAACTTTATTTCAATGTACCGCTAATGGGACATTAAAGGACACGTGTCGTCCTCGTCAATAAAAAATACAATTATAAATGTTACATGGCACCAAAGAATTTGTATCAGAGGCACGGTTGTCTCCCAAAACCCCTACAGCCCAGTACCCCTGGTAAAACAACATTTACCTGTCTGGCATAATGAACTGACCCAAAGGAGAGATTACAGGGTATAGTATACAGTGTGAGATTAAGCTGCATAGAGTATACAGATGAGAAGGGATTAAGATTGTGCTATTGTTGGTTAAGTTTTAATCATTCATTCTATATAAATGAGATGAATTAAATGTTGAACTAGTTTTTGTAGCTTCCTGGTGAGCAGACAGATTTTGCAATATCGTAATCAGTTGTAATAGTGTTGGAGATGAATAATTTGGGATATTTGGGGCGGGGATGGGGTAAATAGATGTTGAAACAAACTAAGATGACAACAACATGGCTGATCTTCGCAATGTGTACAGAGAGATTGCACATCGCATGTATCGCCTCAAGGAGCAGCTTGGATCTTGGACTGAAAACACATTTCCAGTTCCTGGACGCTGTGGGCCATCTACTTAAACTTGGATAGAGACACGAAAACACTCACTCTTAAGCCTCAAGTTCAGTACTGTAGAACCTTTGTTAAAATAAGAGACACAATGTACAATTAATTGATATTGGTTATTGCTCATTAAAATCATTTTCTTGATTTCTAAGTGTTTGCCCTGGTCCATGGCATGGGATACATATAGCAATGTAGGAACTTTGACCACAGGAACTTTGACCACAACGGGCAGGAGATTAGCAGTGCACTGGACCACGAACTTTGTTGTAATAAGCTGCAGGGGTTATGGGCTGTATGGGTTTTGGAAGGTTGCCTGAGGCACCGTTAGTCCGGACATCCTGTGAACGATGTGTATGGGGAGCTTCTATATGTACTAAAGATCATTACAACATTTACAGGCGATTTCACGAGTTCGGGGTGGTATTGATAATGCTTTTACGTTTTTGTGAATCGGAGTTATATAGGTACCGTATTGGTGCATATAAGATACGATCAGACAATACTATATTACCCAAAAGGGAATTCTGTTTACATCAAACAAAGCATGACATGATACAGTAGGATGTGTATATCAATTACGATAATGCATGATTAAATATGGACAAATATAAAATTAACACAGTTACTAATTCCCACGCATAATACACACCAACACATATAATTAAACAAGTGATATACATTGTATGTACTCTTTTCTGTATTCCTATAAATCACAGACACTAACTCAACACATTTACAGATATATCAGCGTCCATGAAAGTATATGTTTATAAACATTCAAAGTACTATTTTTCAAAGGTTACATTAGGTTTTTATGGGGTATTTTCTTATTGTTCTACTTCACAGAGTTAAAGGTAGACAGACAAGCAGAATTCCCGTAAAACTCACCTTTGCATGTTCTCGCACATTTCCTGGAACCTGTTGCTCGCTGACTGGTGTCCAGATCTTCAATCAAACATATATATGTCATTAACTGAAATTTACTCTTATATACTCTTACTTCGACAAGCAAATACTATCTTGATGTAAGGCATATAACTGCTATCTTTGAAAAGCGTTCAAAGAAGTTGAAAGTAACTTATACGTTCGAGTCATTGCTTAGAAAATATATAAGTTCAAGTAATCAAATATACACATGATCTATTTTCCAGAAAGGTACCTATATGTGGTTGTCATGATTGTAGACCCAATATATGGCACTGTTTGTGTTGGAGAGGGGTGGTAAGGGAGAAATACATTAACGATTAAATGGAATTACGGTTTGGCATTTGGAAGCAGGCAGTAAGCGAGATGAAGTCTACTAGTCTCATTTACATTAGTTTCATTACATATGTATACTTAAGACCTGCCCTCGTGCATTGTAGGTGTCAGGTGTCACTGTCAGTGTCTCGAACGCAGATAATGATATGGGTTGATGTTTGTTTAGGGGAACATAAACAAAAACAGAGGGTACATCAACCCATGGGCCCCGAGGGACCAGTGAACAACGTATTTATCTTACCGAACACCTCTATGGTAATTTTGAACTGTTTGAAGCATGGGTATCGAATCATAATAAGGGGTACCAGAGTTAGGCAAGAAAAACAAATATTTAAACTTATCTCCCTTCCATCGATTTGCATTCGCAAAACATCGGTAATTTCCGTACATCATACGGGACTCAAATATTCGAGATAAAGAATTACTAACACGATGTACCAAATGAATTGCCAAAGTTCGGCATTCCCAGCGGATAACATAGAAAATGTTACTCGCTTGTAAGCGTGGTACATTGAAAATAATAGAAGAGCACTCAGCAAATCAGAAAACGACATATGTGTGTGAGGTAAGATAAATAAACATGTCCTCCTCGTGTCAAGTGAACAACTTATAATGTAAACTCTTCAAAAAAAGAAACGCATAGGGGTGATTTCGGGAATATTGGATTAATGTTGCTGCGGCAAAAACAATACAAATATACTATTTCTTTCCAAAACGTCATTTTTCTGTGATTGTAAACAGCTTTAGCGCCAAAGTGCGGCAATATTAACTTTTCCTTTGTTTTAGAAGCGTTTGAAGAAATATTTGCTAATACGTCACAAAGAAAACATGCAAAGCAAAATGCACGTGCAAGTAAGCGGAAAAGCATGCGGTATCGATGACTATTAAAAGGCAAACGTTGGGTTTAATTTTGTCGTTCGTTGAGGAAATCATCATGCCACGACTGAATGCCGCCAATCGAAACATCACCATAGGCCGTTTTAAGCTAGGAGTAGCAGTCTGCAGTTGCCCGACATTTCAACGTTCATCAGAGCATCATATCTCGCCTTTTGGATCGTTTCTTGCAGACAAATTCAACCCAAGATCGACCGAGAAGCGGCCGCCCAAGATCGAGTTACCACCCAAACCTAGGACCGCCACATCCGGGTTGCTAACTTGCGTCATCACCTTGTCACAGCCGTGGAGGTTTCACAACGCATCCCTGGTTTGAGAATTTCCAACTAAACTGTCAGGAATCGATTGCGTAAAGTGTGCATTCTACCATTAAGGCCAGTTGTTTTGAGAGACTTCCATCGGCGCAATCGCTTGCGGTTGTGTCATAGAGTCGGGAACTGGAACCTTAGAAACTAGAGGCGAGTCTGGTTCAGTGATGAATCACGGTTTCTTCTTCACCGGCGAGAAGACAGCGTGTTTACCGTCCGAGAAATGAACGTTTGGCCCCTAATTGCATTTGACAGGTCGACAGATTTGGTGGAGAGAGTGTCATTGTGTGGGATGTGATATCCAGCACTCAAAGATCTGATTTAGTGGTGGATCAGGGGAATTTGACAGCAAATCGGTACATCAACGAAGTCCTTGCACGTCACATGCTTCCGATTATGGACCGACAGAGGGAGTTGTTTCCAACATGACAACGCTACTTCACATACAGCACGCGTCACGGTCAGCTACATTGCCAATTCTAACGTCAATGTCTTGCCATGGCCTTAGTGATCACCAGATCTTAAACCCGATAGGACACCTATGGGAGGATCTCGATCGACGTATACGTCAACGTCAAAACGTGCCTCAGACACTAACACAACTGGCCATCACATTGCTGGAAGAGTGGGGGAAAATTCCGCAAGAACAACTTCGTCGACTTATATAGTCTGTGCCGAGACGGTGCCGAGCAGTAATTGCTGCCAACAGTGGCCATACAAAGTACAGACTTGACGCCATCTTGTAGATTCAAGTAAACATAAACATAACAATAAGGGCTATTGTTGTGTTGGCGAACTCTTTGTCAATAGACTTGTGAATTTTTACATTTTACCATTGAAATTACATGAAATATTTGTTTTTACACTGACGCAATATATTCTTCTAAAAATGGAGTATAGGTTTCTTTTTGGGAGAGTGTAATTACGAAACAATACTGGTTGTTTTGTTTACAGAACTACTTAAGTGACGAGCAATGACTGTTTTGTTCATGGAACTATTTAACCGACGAACAATTTAACACAAATCAGTGTTTCATGTAAAAATGTCTCTTCGAGCACAGACCTATGCTAAGTGTGTCTATAATGAAATTGATTGCCTTGACTTCTATCTCAGATACCAGGACGCTGCTGGCGATGAAATCAAAGTTCTGACATTCAAAGATCGACAGCTGGGCAATATTCATGAGTATCGTTGCTAAAGACACCACATCACACCACACTTCTCCCAAAAATAAATAATGCGTTTCTGTCAATAATACTAACCATCAGCCCTGCCATATGATTTATTCCAGAAAAATATTAGATTACAATATTAAATTAAAACGTTCATATGAAATAATGCAACGTTTGCATTAAATCGACTCTCGCGCCCTCTACCGGCCGAACATTATTTCAAACGAACCCCACAGCGTTATGTCCTTGTGGCAGTGTCATATTTTATTTTATTTATTTGTGTAAATACGGTATCATTTTTTTAAACAGTTTGGTTGTGGTAGTTTTATTGGATCAGGTTTTTATTAGAGTATGTTTGGTATTTGTCCCCAGCTTGATTACCCCAAGCTGGATCATGGCTCTATTGTATTAATGTGGGAGAGCAGGGTGTTCTTTTGTTCTTAACTCAGAGGGCAAGCTATTCCTTGATCTCTGATTGGTCAGTTTTATGTTGTATGTTTTCTTCTTCACTAACATCAGCACATTTTAGTCAATGTACCACATACATCTGCACAAGAGAGGCACCTTAAATATATGACGATATTTTTGACGGACGTCTCATTTCTCCTCTTCTTGGGCTACAACCACTCTCTGTTCAAGGTTAGTTAACTTAATTATAAATATATTATGTAGGATGTAATATTTGTTAAGTATAGTTATATCATAAACATTATTCTTGCTTAGGTTTTAATATTGTGTGATGTGAAGGTATGAATGTGTTTTAAGAATATGGTGTAAGTCATAATTTATAGTGTGTTTATAGGCATGATTTTCATGTTTACTGCATCAGCATTTCATTATTAGCATATTAGTAATAATTGTAATATTTTATGAGGTCAGGTGACACACAAACATGTGTGCCTGCTTAGCAGTCATCTTTGTCTGCCATGTTGTCTACTTGATGTTACAAGGGGCGGTGGGGTAGCCTAGTGGTTAAAGCGTTGGCTCGTCACGCCCAGGACCCGGGTTCGAATTCCCACATGGGTACAATGTGTGAAGCCCATTTCTGGTGTCCCCCGCCGTGATGTTGCTGGAATATTGCTAAAAGCGGTGTAAAACCAAACTCAGTCAGTCAGTCAGTACTTGGTGGTATCACAGGAACGGCACTACAATGGCTCAAGTCCTACTTGTCAAAATAGAACAATGAGAGTCAAGGTCCATAATGCGACTTCATCCATCAGAGAAACCCACTTTGGTGTACCACAAGGCTCTGTGCTTGGTCTGATTTTGTTTTCACTGTACATTCTACCAATGGGCAATATCATCCGAAGTCACAACATAAAATTCCATGGTTATGCAGATGATAACAAACTTTACATAGGAACTTCACCAGCTAATGTTGAACACGCAAAAGATGTTATGAAGAGCTGTATCGCTAACATCAAGATATAGATGACAAACAACTTTCTGAAACTCAACGACGACAAATCTGAGTTCATGATCATTGGAACTAGGCAGCAGCTTCGCAACATAAGCGAGTGTAGTCTTACAGTTGGAGATCAGTCTATCTGCCCTGTGTCCCGGGTGAAGAATCTTGGTGTTGTTTTCCGTTCTCCAATGTCACCAGAATCACAAGCCTTAACAGCAGCAAGATCAGCAACCTTTCATTTCCGCCGAATAGGAAAGATCAGGCGATATTTGGACATTGATACAACCAAACTTTTAGTTCAGTCATACGTCATCTCACGCCTAGACTACTGTAACTCCCTCGTGTCAGGAGCAGCAGCAATCCAACATCTCCAGCTTGTACAAAACAGAGCTGCCAGGATCATAACCAGGACAGAATGTCTGGAACACATTACCCCTGTGCTGAGGTCGTTGCACTGGCTCCCGGTAAAGAGGAGAATACAGTACAATATAATTTGCATCACCTACTCAACCCTCTATGACATCAATTCACCAGCTTACCTCAAAGACATCATCGAAATCTATCGTCCAACTCGTGTCTTGAGGTCTGAGAAAAGAGGCAGCCTGAAAATGCCAGCTACAAAAACATCCATGGGAGACAGAGCTTTCAGTGCTGCTGCACCAGCTTTGTGGAACTCTCTGCCAGTTGAACTGAGATCAGTATCTTCCCTCGAAGCATTTAGGAGCCAACTAAATACTCATCTTTTTCTAGCTACCTACTAGTTTCTCCACTTTCTCTGCACAGCGCCACTGAGCAGCATTGGTTGGACATTAGGCGCTTAAACAAATGCATTATTATCATTATTATTAACCAAACAAGGCCAAGTCTCTGTTGGAATACACTAAGTCCCTGAAAGATCGACTGAAACAGGCATACGAACTCGCTGCTGAAGCTGCCACCAAGTCCCAAGCAAGACAGAAGGCTAACTATGACATCAAAGCCAGAGCTGCCATGTTGGACATCGGAGATAGGGTGCTTGTTAAGATCGTCGCATTTGAAGGGAAACACAAGATCGCCGACAAGTGGCAGAAGGATGTATATGTCATTCTTCATCAGCCTGATCCTGCGATACATTTGTTTGTAGTAGGGAAGGAGGGAGACGATGGGGAAGGAGAGAGACGATGGGAAACGGAGGACCGTCCACAGGAATTTACTTCTTCCCATAGGATGTCTGCCACAAGCAGTCCCAGGCTCAACCGTCCCGATTCCAAGGCCTCGGAAATCCAAGACGTCAGTTGCTCCATCTGGATCATCAACCCAGGAACAGGAGGATTCGTGTCAGGATCAAGAGGACGATTCAGAAGATGAAATTTGTTTTGTGCCTTTGACCTCATCAGAACCCTCAGTTTCAGCTGGTGTACCGGCTGATAGGCCACCTGAGAGTGAGGCTGAAGTTGTGACAGATGCCGCTCTGCATGAGGATCACAGGGGTGAAGAGCCAGAGAGAGCCACAGATGTTGATGGCGATGAAGATGGTGATGAAGCGGTTTCTGCACCAGAGGACATGCAGATAGAAGCTGAAGTTCCGGTTTCATCTGTAACACCTGTCAACTTATCAGAGGATGTTGATGATTCTGCACAAGAGGATGGCAGGTAGAAGTGGAAACTCCGAGCCACCACCAACAAGGACCACCTGAAGATAGACCTCGGCGGAGGATGCTACCCACCCCACCACTAAGGAGGTCACAGAGGGAACGGCAGAAACCATCGTGGCAGACAAGTGGCAAATATGTGATGGCAGCTAGGACAACACCAAAGCCGGACTGGATCTGGAGAGCAGACTACCCTAGTCCTCTCATAGCTACAGGAGTGGTAGCCAGTAAATGTGATAAGGCATCGGATGTTCTTGTAGATCTTGTGGGAAGTTGTGATGGCGAGGACGTCATTGTCGTAGGGGGGAAGTGTGTGGCAGTGTCATATTTTATATTTTATTTTATTTATTTGTGTAAATACGGTATCATTTTTAAACAGTTTGGTTGTGGTAGTTTTATTGGATTAGGTTTTTATTAGAGTATGTTTGGTATTTGTCCCCAGCTTGATTATATGACTGTTTTATTGATTAATGTTACTATTATGTTACAATGTGAAAACAAAACCAGATATATATATTGGAGCAAGTAAACTTGTGGCGCAAGTCACAGCTCACACCCCAGCAGGTGTTGGTCTTCTTTGAACAGTACCACCCCTTACCCTGCTACATCCTTTGGACAGCTCTTTACGAACATCCTACGCACAACTTGTAATTGAAACCAGTTCCCCAAACACCGACAACACCGTGTGCGACAGTTTT